AGCTACAAACGGTTGGAGGACTAATTTATTGATGTCGGTTTGACTAAGATCATTTTATAAAAAAAGATAAAGTCACACGAAAATACATTTCTCTCACTAAAAAATCCACAAGGTTTACTGTGTTCACTGTTCAGTGGTCATGATTTGGTGTAACACTCGGTAAACATAATAAAATGGACATTTCCTAAATTTGCTTATCCTCAACATTTTTTTTGTTCTAAAGCCAAATTGAGAAAAAGTTAAATCAAATAGTATCTATGGGAGCAAGGTGTTTGTTTGGAACTCGGTTCTCCCAAGCTTGGCTAAGTAGCCTTTGTGCAGAAGTCAATCAACAAGATCCTGATCTCGGATCTCGGCAATACTTCGGCAATATCACCAGGTAAGTTTATCACATTTACGACCGATCTCATCACCGTTAAATTAAAATTAAATCTAATGGTTCATAATTATCCCTTATAATCCTAATTTTTTCTCTCATATTTTCTCTCTATAGGTTTCCATCCCCTCTCTCTAGGTTTGAGAATCACCTCTCTCATTCTCTCTTTATCGTTATAGGGCTTTGATCTTCAATTCTAGCAAAAATATCTCACTAAGGTGAATAATCAGATACTTAAGTCAATTATTTCCGTCGTGGCCGAATAGATTTGAGAAATCGCGATTCTTTTAGAACAATTCATTATTCTACGCTGATTGATAATTCTCTCTTTAATACAATTCATTATTCATTCTTCACAAGGGAATATATTTTGTACTCTAATTGATAAACGGATTCCATTGTTGTATGCTTTGATTCATTATTCGTATTTTTTTTTCAATTAATCTTGAAGAGAAGGCACTAAACTTAGCCAAAATGCATCGACGACAATTGTCCTAATAAGCATAATGAGATTCAATTTGATGTCGAATCCAAAATTCTAGAAGAAAAAGTATCAGACTAGGACGCTGGCAACATTTTCATGATACATGTTCCCATATCGATTTCTCTGCTCCTTTCACTCTCATCCTCTAGTCCCTTTGATACGCACCCAAAATACCAGAATATGAGAGAACCCTTTGCTCTCTTCTTTGGGTTGCAACATACCACCAACGGATAAATCAACGATGATGGAAAGAGAGGTGATTCTCAAACCTAGAGAGAGGGGATGGAAACCTAGAGAGAGAAAATATGAGAGAAAAAATTAAGATTATAAGAAATAATTATGAACCATTAGATTTAATTTTAATCTAAGAGTGATGAAATCGATTATAAAAGTGATAAACTTACTTGGTGGTAAGTATAACTCTCCCCTTTAACTTTTACTTGTAATAAAATTTAACCAAAGAATTAATATTTTGATATTATTTTTAAAAAAATTAACAATCAAATACTTATTTGTCGAAATTTTTGGGCCATAAAATGACACCTTAGCGAGATTACGTGTCCCTTGTCTTAAATAATCCAATAGGACACCTTTCTCTTGCGTAATTGGAGCAACCCTCAATAACCATTAGAAGTATGGGTGTTAACGAGCCGAGCTTTGGTCTTAACGGGCCGAGCTTGTGTTCAAATGTGTCAGACTGGCCTTAGCCTGTTACCTGTTACGAATATAATATCAGCCTGTGGCCTGACTCATTTACGAAAAATAAAAGTCTTGTTTAGCCTGTTTAAAAAAAATAAGACAACAAAAATTTATCTAAACAAAATATACAATCAACAACACTACTAATTCCATAAATATTCATAAATTTAATGTATATCCAAATAGCATAATATAAAACAAAATCATTTAAAAAGTCTGCTTAATTAATAAAATGGGATGAAATGAATTGAGAAGAGAGAGGGCTATCACAAGTAGTATAAAAATTAAAAAAATAAATAAATAAATAATATATTAGGCAAGCCTGAGAGGCTCTAAGGCCGAGCTTTTGAATTGGAGCCTGATGCCTTTTTATTAAACGAGCTTTTATACAAGTCCAAGCCTGGATCCAACAATCAATTTTAGACATGTAAACTCAGGCCTTCACGAGCCGAGCCAAAGACCCCTTGCTCGTTTAGCACCCCTAATTAGAAGACTCTTCAACAATATCACAACATTAAAAAAAAAAAAAAAGACTTATAAACACCTTTCCACGTTAGATTAATATTTGGAAGTGGATGAAAAAGATATAATTAGTGACCTAACATCAATCAGATTTGAGTACTAACTTTTACCGTAATCTTTCTGGGCTGGGCCTATTTTGGAGGATTTGGAATGGTATCCTGCTTTTTAAGAAGAATGTTACCAAAGACCTTTGTGATGGAGATGGTGAGGTCAATGCTTTCAGGAAGTGGACGTCTATAACCTTATCCGTATGTATATATATATATATATGATTGTTAAATCAAGTGAGTTTTCAATGTTAGCTGAAATAGATTAATGTAGATCCTATGGATAAATCACACCGAAAACAAAAAAAGATTCTGAAGTTAAATTCGCTTTAACAACCATTAAGCTACAAACGGTTGAAGTTAGATTCTATTTGCCTAAGGACTAATTTATTGATGTCGGTTTGACTAATAAGGTCATTTTATAGAAAAAGATAAAGTCATACGAAGACACATTTCTCTCTCTACAAACCCGCAAGGTTTACTGTAGTCAGGATTTGGTATAACACTCGTCGCTCAGTAACTATAATAAAATGCACATTTCCTATATTCGCTTATCCTCAACATTTTTGTTTTAAAAGCCAAATTGAGAAATAAGTAAAGCCAAAACATCTCTGGGAGTTAACAGGTACTATCCTCCCTTAAAACAAGAGAAGCCATTCAAGAGTCCCATTCAATTGCCCTACATATACACCAACACGATTGCTATGGAAAGCTCTAACAAACAAAATCAATTAGCAATCAAAGCACCAACATTGCTCATAAGAAAAGAATAAGTTTATTTACAATTAAGACAGAGCACACTACAATGAAAAGCTTCAGTTCAGAACTTAAGAGAAAGCTCCTAAATACAAATGATAGTTTAAAATTGTTCTGATCAGTTTGTTGCTCGCAATTAGGCTCAATTGGATGACTCAATTGTCAACTGCGAAAAACATTCTGCCACGTTTTCACATATGTCGGCTTAATGTGACACCTTATTCATAATGTATTGGTATATGAATTTAATGTGACAATTGAGCTAGGTTGTATGTTGGCATAATTTTCGGACCGTAATGTGACACTTCCTTCATATGGCATGTCCCCATAAATTAATAATATGACAATGCATCTAGGTTGTATGTTGGTGTGAATTCTTATATCATGATAAGATTATTGAGCTAGATTGTGTGTCCGTATAATTCTTTGGCCAAAATGTGACACCTCCACATATTGTGTGTCGCCATAAATTCTCAGGTCGTCATGTAACAACTCAGCTAGGTTGCGTGTTGACATAATTCTCAGGTTGTAATGTGACAACTTAGGCATATTACGTGTCAGTTTAAATTCATAATATGACAACTCAGCCAGGTTGCATGTTGGCATGAATTCTCATATCATAATGTGACAATTGACCTAGGTTGCGTGTCGGCATAATTCTCCGGTAGAAATATGACACCTCAACATATTGCATGCTAGATATATCAATTCAGCTAGGTTACATGTTGGCATAATTCTCGGGCTATATTGTAATACTTCAATCAAGTACATGTCAGCATAAATTCTCAAGTCGTTATATATCAACCTAGCTAGGTTACGTGTTGGCATAATTTTCTGGCCATATTGTAATACCTCAGTCAAGTACATATCAACATAAATTCTCAAGTCGTTATATATCAACCCAACTAGGTTACGTGTTGGAATGGCCATAATGTAAGCAATGTATGTGTCAGCATAAATTCTCATATCATCATGTAACAACTAAATCAGGTTACATGTCGAAATAATTCTCAATTCATTATGTGACACCTTAGCCATATTTTGTGTCAGCATAAATTCATAATATGACAACTCAACCAGGTTGCATGTTGGCATAAATTCTCACATTATAACTTGACAATTGAGCTGGGTTGCGTGTCGGTGTAATTCTTTTGTTGAAATATGACACCTCAACATATTGCATGTTGGCATAAATTCACATGTTGTCATATATCAACTCAGCTAGGTTATATGTTGACATAATTCTCGGGGCTATAATGTAACACAACAATCAAGTACGTGTCATCATGAATTATCTGGCCGAAATATAACACCTCAACATATTGCGTGTCAGAATAAATTCTCAATCATTATATATTAACTCAATTGGGTTATGTATTGGCATAATTCTCGGTTCATAACATAACACCTCAGTTAGGTACGTATCAACGTAAATTCTCATATGCTCATATAACAACTTAGCTAAATTAGACTTCAATAAAATTCTCAAACCATAACGTGACACCTCAGTCAAATTGCATGTTGGCATAAATTAACAATTCAACTAGATTAAATGTCAATATAATTTTTGGGTTATAATGTAACACCTCAGGTAGATTGCGTGTTAACATAATTTCTAAAATACATATTTTTCTCTCACCTTAGATTCTACTGCAACACTTTAACACCTTCAAACATGTAGAGCAGCCTTCAACAACCGTTAAAGAGACTCATCAACAACATCAAACATATCACTAGACAATTTGTACACAACGAAAATGTATAAATATATTGTACCAAAAAATAGATAAAGAAAATTTAATAAAATTTCTTATTTTATGAAATGGCTTATTATCACTAATAGAACGGTGATGAATAATAGTTATTATTTTCCAAAAACAGGTGAAAAGAAGGACTCCAAGTTTCTTAGTTTGCACTGTACAGCATCACAAGGAAACAAAGAAAAGGAAAAATAAAATCCAAAAAAAGCAAAAACGTGTTGCTATTGAAGACCTGATGAGTTGGTCCCACCAAAACAGATTTTCCCAAACACTACCTAAATTAAAATAGCTTTAAAATACTATTTTTCTTTCACCTCTCTCTCTATATAAATAAATCGCGTTTTGTAAAAGTCTCTCACCAAACGCAGAAGCCAAATCTCCTAGAAAGCGAGTCTCTCTCTCTCTCTCTCTCCGTTTTTTCTTACAGTCAGCGAAAACAAACAAACAAACAATTGGAACACGAAACAACCACATCACACCTTGTTTCGAATTCAACTAAGAAAACGACAAAGAGGATGTTTCCGGAGACAAGCACGACGCGGTGGCCGACTCAGCCAGCCGAGCCGAGTGAGTGGACTCGTTACCAGGATAAGCTCTTCGAGCGAGCTCTATTGATGGTGCCGGAGGATCAGCCTGACCGGTGGGAGAAGATCGCCGAGCAGGTACCGGGAAAGTCGGCGGCGGAGGTGAGGGACCACTATGATGCCTTGGTTCACGACGTGTTCGAGATCGACTCGGGTCGGGTCGAGGTGCCGAACTACACGGATGACTTTGCTGGTGGATTGTCCTCATGGGACTCTGCTAATCAAATATCTTTCGGGTCCAAGTCTAAGCATGGCGACAACGAGAGGAAGAAAGGGACTCCATGGACTGAAGAGGAACACAGGTATGAAAAACAATTTTAATTCAATTCGATTCCGCCTTACGTTTTTTGTTGTTGTTGTTGTTGTTGTTGTTTGGGGTTTTGAGTTTGGGGTTTTGTTCTTCAGAGTTGTTTGGATAAAAAATAGTAAAAAATTCAAATCAATTTTGGGTTTCTGTTTGATGTTGTTTTGACCTTTGATGCTTTAGTTTAGCTCCTTGATAACTAAACCTTTTTATACAATCTGAGGAATTTGTTTGAGTATTTTCGTTCTCTTTAATTCAATGACTCTCTGACTTTTGGTTTCACAGTAAATAGGCCGAGTTCTCTTTAATTCCATGAACTTTATCATCTTTGGTTTCTAACAATGCGTTTTTGTTGCTTGTCGGCTAACGGCTAAAATTTCGATTGCTGAAGAAACTGAATTAGAAAAAAAAAACAAAAAAAAAAAAACAGAAATTTTGGTCGAGATATTTATTATCAAATATCTGCATTGCGATATTTTATTGAATGTCATGCATTAGAAGATGGTCTAGACCTTCAATTTCACGGTTTCTTGTTACGTTACATGTTAATTCAGTTAAAAAAAATGTGGGTATTTATCTGTGTATGTTTAATTATTTTATAAAAATGCATGCGACACCATTTAAAAATATCTGAATTAACCATTCAAATTTGTGGCATTCTGATTATATGGGTCAATGGCGCAACCTCGGTTTGCTTTACGTCCTTAGTATATTTGCAGATTTGGGGGAGTAACGCTTTGCTGGATGCTTGATGCTTTTTGTTTTTGTTTTTTTCTCTTTTTCTTTCTGCTTGGTCCCTTTTCCACTATTTGTTTCTGATATATGAAGGTCAAGGGCAATGCTAATTTCATGGTCGCTGGTATGATATCTTTCTATGACAGGCTGTTTCTCATTGGGCTCAGCAAATTTGGCAAGGGAGATTGGAGAAGCATTTCAAGAAATGTTGTTGTGACAAGAACACCAACTCAAGTAGCTAGCCATGCCCAGAAATACTTCCTTCGCCAGAATTCGGGGAAGAAAGAGAGGAAAAGATCGAGCATCCATGACATAACCACAGTGGACAGTAACTCAGTGCCTGTGCCCATTGATCAGAATTGGGTTCCTCCTCCTACTAGTTCAATGCAGCCGTCACAAGAAATGCAGCAGTACCCATCAAACAATTTGCAAGATCAAATGGGTAGATTTGGTTATTCAAACTATGGCTTTGAGATGTAAAGAATGCTAGAAGCCGCATGTTTCTGTACATAATGCAGTATATGTTTCTTGTTTGTAAAGTTTGTGGTTTTGCTAGCTGACAGAGTGATTAGGAGTATTGCTAATTGAATTTATTTTGTTTGTGAATCACATATAATATGTACTAGTGACCAATGGAGGGTAGTGAAAACAAATAGTTAACTTTTAGCTCAACAGCGATGGAAATTCTTTGTCAGTGTCTAAATTCAATTACTCATTTGTAATTCGTATTCAAGTATTGAACCATCTACCTTGCCAGTTGTTCAGTTGAGTGAAAGCATACTATGCATTCAACCGCAAACATCAATCAAAACGTCTTCTTGTTGATGTTTCTTGATGGCTCCTTAATAGTAAAAGCCTGGAATCTTATTGAAGTTAACGAACCGCGTTGCTGACCTTTTACGTGTACTAATGCACCGGTTTCGAAGACGCTCGTTGTTTTACTGATTTTGACCCCACTTAGATCGTTTCAAATTTCAAAATTTTAAATTTTCCCCTATGGTTTGATAAATTACTATACTCCTTAAGCCTTTTCTTTTTCCATGCTAAAGACAAAACTTCGCGAAAACAATAGCACGTTAGAGCCCATTTGTAGCTCGAAATAAAACAATTGAAAGGGGCTTTGTAAAAGTCAAATCAAATGCGACGATTTAGTAGCCGAACATATTAACAATGTTGAGGTTTGATTTTTTTATGTTACATCAGAGTTGAATTTTTATGTTGTGAGTTAACGGTAAGTCTCACATTTATAAAAAAAAAAAAAAATTGCACATAAATCGAAGTATCACAGTATAATAATTGTTTACCTCAAAAGTTTTTATCCCATTACCTATGATTCAGAATAAAATCAGTTTCTATCATGTCTAAATATCAGATTTATTCTAAAGAACAAGATGTAAAAGCTATTACGAGTTCCAGATCTCTTGTAGCTGTAAACAGACTAACACTTGGGCAGAATCCCCTCTTTTCTTTTCCCACTTTTGTAGGAGGATTTAGATATGCCAGCACCCTACACTTTATTTTCAAGTAAATTTGCTTTGTTTTTCTATACTTTTGTTTGTACTCTTCATGGAAACAAATTTGATTATTATATATAGAAAAGAAGCCCCTTCTGCCTCTCCATCTATCTTAAACAACTATCTCAACAAATAATTCTCGCCTTGTATCTGCCCATTGCCGAGATTTTCGGTACACTAATCCAAAAGGAACTTTGAGCTCACTCCATAGCCACAAAAATGTAGGGTACACAAGCTGCCAAGCTATTTTTACCTAGGATGACAATAGATTGGACCAGATAATCGCACTCTGTTCAAAATCAGTCATCATCTTTCAACCCAATACTACAACCAAATAAAACAATTCTATGCATTCGTTTCCTTTTGAGCATTATAGAGTTACTAAATAAAACAGATAGCAGCTTCGATCTGTTCAGTTGACCTACTCATCTTAAACCGAATTCTACTATCTACAGTGAAACTGACAGTCCGTTTCCATTTTTTCATTTCTCAAAATATACTGACTAGAATGGCACTTGTTGGGTCCCACTCACAGCCCACAAACGTTAAAAATTACTGGAAAGGATTATATCATAACAAAGGTACCAAACTAGCTTGACGCAATAACATGGTTACATCCACCATTGAAGAAACTACAAACAAACAAGAAACACAATCTATACAAAGACCAAAGTTCACTCAGAGTCAATGTGTTTTATTCCCCATGCTTATTTCCCAAAGTGACCTTGACGACTAGCGTGAAGGACAAACTCAGCCCTTGTGCTCCCCTTCAGGTTTCTACAGACAAGAAAAAAAGTGTTAAATTCTGGTAGAAGGAAAACACAAATAACATTAGATCAACGGTAAAAATTCAATATCACCAAATTGCTGCAAAACAAAAGCAATAAATAATTCTAGGTCTTCCCATTTCACAGTCAGATTATAGAATCCGTATAACGTGGACTAGAAACAAGACATCAACTTGATGGACGAATTACCCCGGGCTAGTTGTTATTTAAGTGTACAACACGGTGACAGGTAACCACCCCACCACCCCCCACTGTATGCACTTGTTTGTGGCCCATGCAAGCACCCATTCGTAAAAGGCCCCCCTTGATTCGCAGCAAACTGAATTTAATAACCAAAAAGTGTGCAAAAGCATAAAAATATTGTACAAAAACAAATCTGTATCAGAAATCAGCATTTTGAAAGTGTTCTGAATGAGTATTATGGGCTCAGTCCAAGACCCACTTCCTCACATGCACACTCTCCTCATCATGAGGAATAAGCTGGCCACACCCTTTAGGTGGAGCCCAACGGGTAACAATTTTAGGTCCTTTCTGGCATTAGGGGATTCTCCTGTCCCTCCTATAAATAGCCCTCTCCTCCACCGTTGAAGGGGGTGTGTATTTTGTCTCCATTGCTATTACTCCTGTCTCTGTTGCTATTACTCTTTCCCGGCCCAATTCGAAGATAGCATCACCAGTATCCACTAGTTGAGCTCTTGCACTCCATACTTGAGCTACTCTAGTCCACTGGACATTGACCTTGCCCTACCCATCTTGTGTTGACATTCTATTATCACCAACACTTCAGATCAAAAAGCAAAAAAATTGCAGTCCTTCAAGGGTATATCATTTCACTTAAAAGGATATGCCTAATTGAGTGGTGAAGAGAATTTTAAAATGATCTGAAGTGTTTATTGCATAAAAGAGGTAGCAGACTACCACCCACTGCTACCCCATCCCCACAGAAAGTAACAAATTAATTTAACCGAATGATAATAGCTTCGAAGTTCGAAACCAAAAAAGAAAAATGAAGAACAAGCTTGAAGTCACAATGCACATCTCAACTACTACTATGTAACGTCTAAACAACGAATTCACCATATTACACGGATATCCAAGTCCATGAAAGACCACCACAGATCCCAGCATCATGCCATCACCACGGGCAATAAGGCCAGGAGAATGACACATGAACAGTAAATAAATTTTACAAAAGAGAAGATTTTCAACCCGGACAAGAATTGAAATAAGGGTAATAAATGGTTAAAAAAAAAGCAAATAATATCCTGCATCATATGAAAATTACAGAACTTCAGGAGCTACAAAACGAATCGTCATTTGTTACTTTGAAGACAGAAAGTTAAGGCACATGCGAATGTCACAAGTTCAAATAGCTTCCCAAGTCGATCGAGAAATTAAAAATTTGCAGTTAACAGAACAGAGAGTAGCACATCCTCAAAGACCTGAAACAACAAATCAAAAGTCCACAAATCGATGAGAATATTCCTACAAATACCTTATCAGCAGTATCCTTAGCCTTCTCCGCCCTAGCCTTATCAGAATCCTGCTTCTGTTTCTCCAATTTTTCCCTCTCCCATTTCTGAACACAAAAATCAACGCCTCAAAGTTAAAATTTCAGATTCTGGGGACAGAGCAAAACAGGAATAAAGGAAAGTGGTCTCACCTGGATGTAGACGTTCTCTTTGGCCTGTTCCTCCTCACTGAGAACACGACCTTTCTCGCTGTAGAAGCGAGTGAAAGCCCCCCGAGTTGTTGAGTCCATGGAACGAGTCACAAGTCCTCGACTCAGCACCGATCTCATAGCCATTGCAACAATGAATATCACAATTCACAAAGAGGGGAGAATGAGTCAAAGACCCTAGAAGTTCCGAGTTAAATTTATAACACTGGACCGGTCAGTGTCTGAGACTGGGCCCGGTCTAACTGGATCAGCCTCATCAAAACAAACCAACCAAATGATCATCATTCATCAGTGGTATTTTGATTTCCTTCTTTTCCTGTTACTGTGAGCGCACTATAACAGGATTTACACGTTGGACTCTTTCATCCATATCGAAATTCAATACGAAAACCAGATAAGTGATTGAATTGTAAGATAATTTTTTTTTGTTACTAATTACTAGATAATCAATGCACTTAATCTAAAATATTGTGATATCTATCATTCAACACAATATAAAGATTAGATAGAGTAATGCAAAATTTATTGTGATATCATTGTATTGTGTCTTGTTTCATCATAATAACATTAAAAGATGAAGGAGCATAAGTAATTAATTTTGTTTCCTCTTTTAACGTTATCAACAAAATTTTGTAACCCAATTTAATAATAGTAAAAAATTCTAAATTTTTTTCTGCCAATTAAATTCCTTTTATTTTGAAAATCAATCAAATTATATATATATATATTTTTTTGGAAATATAATTATATTATATATTATATATATTTTTGTATTATATTATCTTTTACTTTTTACCAAATCAAACAAACCTTTCGTTTAGATGAATTATTATGATAAATGAATTCTAAAATGTTTTTGGACTACTTTTAAATATATATTAAAATATTTATAACATATATTATTTTAAATATAATATAAAATATTTAAAATAAAAATTAATAACACACCTAGTTAAAGCCGCTTTTTTTGGTTCCTAAGGTATCCTTCGGCTCGGAAGATTAATCCTTTTGAGACGAGAGATCGCATTAAGTGAGTAAACCTCTATCAACAAAGTATTTTCATATACACGGCCTTTCATATATACGGCCAGTGATCGAACCCTATCAGTATACTTAAGGAATTCAACTATTTACCAACTGTGCTGAGCTTTATTAGTAAAACGACTTTATTTGTACTTATTTTTTTTGAAGAATATTTGTAATTGATTTTTTTTTTTTGAAAAATTATGATAATTAACTTTTAAAAAAAATAAAAAATGTCAACATAATCACTGTAGTACCTTTTTCTAAAAATCTAATTGTTTCAAAGTAAAACAAACGCATTCTAAAATAACATATATTTAATAATATTGAATGAAAAAAAAAAAAACTTAAGAATCTCTTGTTATTATCAATTTACTTGAATATAATAAGTTAGGGGAATTTTTTTTATCTAGGAATCATGATTCTTGGAAATAGGATAGAAAATAGAGTTTTTCGAAAATGTTACTGAAAAATTATTTGGTAGGTAAAAAATAATGGGTTTAAATTCCCTCCTGCTACAGAAATTTTTTTAACTCTCCCACTGACACTTCGAAGTTTGTGTTTGTTTTTTTTTTTCTTTTTTTACAAATAACCGGCCTCACCATTTTTTATATCAACAGGAAAATGAACAATCTCTCCTATGAAAGGAGAGACATAAAACCCAAAAAAATAATACTGGAATATTGGATAAGTTTTCTATTCTTATCAGCTTTTTCTCATACTTTTTTCTATTTTCCAAGTAATCCAAGTGATTGATATGTTAGGAAATTATATTTTCTAATAATTATTGTGGGTCACATATTATATTAATAATTATATTGTGCTATTTATATATATTGGGTAAATTAAAGTGATCAGGTAAATATTCCCAAATAGATTCCTAAGTGAGTATGGGCTGAATGAGTGGATACCGGTGTTGGGCCAACTAGGTATAATGGGAGCTTATTGGCCCAACAATAAAGATAAAAACACTATAAAAGGGTTATGGTCCCCAATACGTCAAATGAACAACCCTAGTTTCTCTTCCCCATCAAGAGAGAGACGACACACTAAGGAATTCGGTTTTAGGGTGATTTGACTGAGGAAGACTACAAACCCCAAGAGACAAGATAAAAGTTATTCCGCTGCAATGGAGACAGGTATGCCTCCACCTTTATGTTCTTATTTCTTTATGATTTGGTATGATGGATCTTGGCTTGTAGGTGATAGTTATCACCAAAAGGTTTAGAGGAATTAAAAAAAAAATTCAACAATTGGTATCAGAGCCTTAATCATATTGAATCATGAGGGAATTAGGTTTATATAATTATAAGATCCAATCAATTGCGATCAATTTTTTAAATCTGAGTTGTTGTGTAAACCGTGGTTGTTCCGTCTTTTCTTATATATCATGTTGTATATATATTGTATACAATTGAAATCAACCCACGACAATTCTCGTGAATTAGAAATCAATTTTTGATTGTCGTGCCAAGTCTACAATTGATTTGCACCGTTACTGTGTGTTATCTCTAAAATTTTAGAATGAATTGAAATATACTTTATGATTACCGTCTCGATTTTCGTGATGATTGATTTTCATGAATTACATTGTTGCACCGTTTGCTGCAAATCACCGTCTCTATTGGCCTTAAAATTGTTGCAATGATATATTGATACAATATGTATATATGTATATACATTGAGAATTGATAAAGAATAATTTTCTTTATTGTTGTTATTTTGTTTTTAAATGGGTTTATTATCCCTAAAAGTTTCTATTTGAAATTAAATATGATAAATTTGTTAGCCGCCACAGTGGCCAAATTTATAAAGGTTAATTTGATTTCAAATAGGTTGGTCATATAAATATATTTTATTTATGCAAATAATAATCGGCCCACAGGAAGGTTATTGTTTGGCCAAATAACATATGTTATGTGATCATGTGTGTGTTTGTTGCTTATGCGGATAGTGATCGACCCACAGGAAGGTTATTATTTGGCCAAGTAACAAACATACCTGTGGTAATAAATATGTGACAATTATCAAGAATTCTCAATGTAATTCATAGTCGGCTCACAGGAAGGCTATGATTTGACAGGACTTATTGTCAATGTTTGATTACTACATTAAGAGTACCACTTACAAGTTCATGTTTTTGTCCACAGACTAAATGTTAATGTTGTGCTAGGTATCTTATAATAAACTCATTTTACTTCGGATTATTTGTCAATATCATGTATGTAATTTATTTATGATGATGTTTGAATATACATATGATATGACATGTTATTAGTATGTAATCTTATTTTGTTCTCTGGAGACAGTTTCTGCTACCGCTGCCAATTATGTTGCTCGAGTGAATTCGCTTCCAATGCTTAATGGGGCAAATTTCAAGCTGTGGAAAGAGAATGTGGAAATTATTCTCGGCTGCATGGATCTCGACAATGCGCTAAGGACTGAGAAACCCACTTCCACTCAGGAAAATCCAAACACGGATAAAATTGAGAAGTGGAAACGCTCAAATCGCATGTGTTTGATGATCATGAAACGTTCCGTTCCGGAGGCGTTTAGGGGCTCGATTGTTGAGACTACTAATGCCAAGTTGTTTCTTAAGGAACTCGAGCAATACTTTGCTCGAAATGAAAAGGCTGAAATTGGTCAAACCTTGTCCAAACTCATAAACATGAGGTATAAAGGAAAGGGAAACATAAGGGAGTACATTATGAAAATGTCTAATCTTGCTGGAAAACTAAAGGCATTAAAGTTAGAGCTTCCCTCTGAGTTACTCATGTACTTAGTTATTATCTCTCTTCCTGCACAATACGGTCAATTTGTGGTGAGTTATAACACTCAAAAGGAAAAATGGACTTTTAATGAGCTCATTTCTCACTGCGTGCAAGAGGAAGAGAGGTTACAGCGAGAGAAGACTGATAGTGCTCACTTGGCATCAACCTCTCAAGACAAGAAAAGAAAGAGAGCTAAGGATAATGCAGATGCTTTGCCAAAGAAGCAAAAGAAGCAGGACCAGAAATTCACCTGCTTCTTTTGTAAGAAATCTGGACACAAGAAGAAAGAGTGTTCCAAATACAAGGCATGGCGCGAAAAGAAGGGTATGACTCTCACTTTAGTTTGTTCTGAAATTAATTTAGCTACTGTACCTATTGATACTTGGTGGGTAGATTCTGGTGCTACTACTCACATTAGTATGTCTATGCAGGGTTGCCTTTGGAGCCGACCGCCAAGTGATGTTGAGAGATACATCTTTGTGGGCGATGGCAAAAAGGTTGCAGTTCAAGCTATTGGGAATTTTAGATTATTGTTAAAAACTGGTGTTTATTTGGATTTGATTGAGACATTTGTTGCACCGTCATTTAGACTTTAGACGGAATTTAATTTCTATTTCTAGTTTGGACAAATCTGGTTATTCTTGTTCATTTGGAAATAATAAATTTTGTCTTTCGCTTAATTCAAATATTGTTGGTACTGGTTCTTTGATTGATAATCTTTACATGCTCGATACTGTTTCTACTGATAATGAAATATTGCACTCGAGTGCAAATGGTACAAAGCGAAAGTTAAAAGAGAATTCTGCCATTCTGTGGCACAAGCGTTTAGGTCATATCTCTAAACAGAGAATTCAGAGGCTTGTGACTGATGGAATTCTTGAACCCCTTGATCTGGATGATTTTGAGGTGTGCATTGAATGCATAAAGGGGAAACAGACAAACATAAGGAAAATAGGTTCCAACAGAGCTTCAGACGTCTTAGAATTGATTCATACGGATATTTGTGGACCATTTCCTATAGGCTCTTGGAATGGTCAACAATACTTTATCACATTCATAGACGACTATTCAAGATTTGGATACCTATATTTGATTAGAGAGAAGTCACAATCATTGGATGTGTTCAAAGAATTTAAAGCTGAAGTTGAACTTCAGTTAGGCAAGAAAATTAAGACCATTAGATCTGATCGTGGTGGTGAATACTATGGTAGATCTGATGGATCAGGTGAACAACGTCCAGGGCCCTTTGCGATCTTCCTAAAGGAGTGTGGAATCGTCCCGCAATACACAATGCCAGGTAAACCTAGCATGAATGGTTTTGCGGAAAGGCGAAATCGGACTCTTAAAGACATGGTGAGGAGTATGCTTAGTCATTCTTCATTGCCAGAATCACTTTGGGGAGAAGCACTAAAGACTGCAGTTTATATCCTTAATAGGGTTCCCAGCAAAGCAGTGACAAAAACCCCTTATGAGCTATGGAATGGAAAGAAACCTAGCATAAGGCATTTACACATTTGGGGTTATCCAGCAGAAGCAAGGCCTTATAGGCCAAATGAAAGAAAGTTGGACTCAAGAACAATTAGCTGTTATTTTGTTGGATATGTTGAACGCTCTCGGGGCTTTAAGTTTTATAATCCCACTACAAGATCCTTTTTGGAGACGGGAAATGCCAGATTCCTTGAGGATGTTGAGTTTGGGGGGGAAGATAAAATAAAGAATGTTGTCTTTGATGAGGAAGAAAATAATATTTCTCTTCCTAATATTGTCATCATTCAAGATGCAATTACGGAACAAGCAATTAATGATCAGGTCCCTGTTCATGACATTGTTATGGAACAGGCTTTGGTCCCTGACATTATTTTGGGTCAAGACAATAATGAATCACCCCTTATGCCACCTATAGAACAAACTCAACAAACTCAAGAAGTGCCATTAAGGAGATCCACTAGGGAAAGGAGAAATGCAATTCTGGATGATTATATTGTGTTTCTTCAATAGCATGAAAATATTTTAAGCTTGAAGAAAGATGATCCAATCAACTTCCAACAAGTCTTAGAAAGATCTAATGCTCATAAATGGATTGATGCCATGAAAGATGAGATGCAATCTATGAAAGACAACGTCGTTTGGGATCTTATTGAGTTGCCTAAAGGTGCGAAACCCATTGGTTGTAAATGGATATTTAAAACCAAACGGGATTCAAATGGCAACATCGAAAGATATAAGACACGTCTAGTTGCTAGAGGTTTCACTCAGAAAGAAGGCATAAACTATAAAGAGACTTTCTCTCCGGTTTCTACGAAGGACTCCTTTAGGACAATAATGGCGCTTGTGGCTCATTTGGATTTGGAGCTACATCAGATGGACGTAAAGACAGCGTTTCTCAATGGCAACATTGATGAGACAATTTATATGGTGCAACCAGAAAACTTTGTATTGGGAGATTCAAAGTCTATGGTTTGCAAATTGAAAAAGTCCATCTACGGCCTTAAGCAAGCTTCTCGTCAATGGTACCACAAATTCCATCAGGTTATTATCTCCTATGGCTTTGAGGTGAACTTAGTGGAAGATTGTGTGTATCACAAGTTCAGTGGGAGTAAATTCATATTCCTGATACTATATGTTGATGATATCTTACTTGCCAGTAGCGATATAGGCTTATTACATGAAACCAAGAAATTTCTCACTAAAGATTTTGAGATGAAGGACCTTGGTGATGCATCTTTTGTCTTAGGAATACAGATACTTCGAGATCGCGCTCAAGGTATCCTACGGTTATCACAAAAGGCCTACATTGAAAAGATTCTGGATAGATTTGGCATGAAGGATTGTACGTCAGGAGATACGCCCATATCTAGGGGAGACAAGTTTAGTCTCGCCCAATGCCCTAAAGGTAAGCTTGAGATGATAGAGATGACAAAGGTACCTTATGCTTCGGCAGTAGGAAGCCTTATGTATGCCCAGGTTTGTACTCGCCCTGATATAGCATTTATAGTGGGAGTGTTAGGAAGATACTTGAGCAATCCAGGAATGGATCATTGGAAAGCAGGCAAAAGGGTTATGCGGTATTTAAAGAGAACTAAAGATTATATGCTTACATATCGGAGGTCAGATGAATTAGAGATCGTCGAATATACTGACTCTGATTTTGCTGGATGCCAAGATAGTAAAAGATCCACGTCAGGTTATGTCTACATGTTGGCTGGAGGAGCTATTTCTTGGAAGAGTGTTAAACAAACACTCGTAGCTTCCTCTACTGTGGCCGCTGAATTTGTAGCTTGTTTTGAGGCATCCAACCATGGGGTATGACTGCGAAACTTTGTCACAGGGCTGCATATAGTGAGTGGTGTTGAAAGGCCACTGAAGATTTATTGTGACAATAGGGCAGCAGTGTTGTACTCCAACAACAACAGAAGCTCTTCAAAATCGAAGCACATCGATATAAAGTTTCTGGTTGTTAAGGAAAGAGTTCAGAGTGGACAGATTTCCATAGAACACATAGGGACGAACTCCATGCTTGCGGATCCGCTTACTAAAGGCTTAGTGCCTAAGGTCTTTCACGAGCATACTGCTCATATGGGTGTTGTTTTGTTCGATGACACTACGATTTAGTGGGAGTTCTTTATGTTGGTGTTCCATGTAAATAAATAAATGAAATATTCTTATGTTTGTTTTCTGCAGAATAAAGAATTCAATGATATTTTCCCTCTGAATGTATTATATTTTGTGCTTGTGTTTCTGCTTTGTGTATGCAGAAAATTTAGGATTGATCTCATAAAGATTAAAGTAGGACCAGTTGGAAATAGGCATGGTAAGATCACATTGCATGTAATTTCCATGCCATTCATCCATACTTGATCTATGTCATTGAATATATTGGTGCGATGACCATGGAAGGTTTAGTTACGCTTGAAAGTGACAAAAGCCGCCATGATCTCATATTGATATAGGAGGTGGACCAGATTGTATCTAAGGAGGAATCTAAAGAAAAATAGCATACAGTTGCGCACTAAAGATATACGATATAATTATCTCAAGTTAATATGTGGCCCAAGTGGGAGATTGTTAGGAAATTATATTTTCTAATAATTATTGTGGGTCACATATTATATTAATAATTATATTGTGCTATTTATATATATTGGGTAAATTAAAGTGATCAGGTAAATATTCCCAAATAGATTCCTAAGTGAGTATGGGCTGAATGAGTGGATACCAGTGTTGGGCCAACTAGGTATAATGGAAGCTTATTGGCCCAACAATAAAGATAAAAACACTATAAAAGGGTTATGGTCCCCAATACGTCAAATGAACAACCCTAGTTTCTCTTCCCCATCAAGAGAGAGACGGCACACTAAGGAATTCGGTTTTAGGGTGATTTGACTGAGGAAGACTACAAACCCCAAGAGACAAGATAAAAGTTATTCCGCTGCAATGGAGACAGGTATGCCTCCACCTTTAGGTTCTTATTTCTTTATGATTTGGTATGATAGATCTTGGCTTGTAGGTGATAGTTATCACCAAAAGGTTTAGAGGAATTAAAAAAATTTCCAACATGATATTCTTGGATGAAATTTTCATTCATAATTTACACACAAAATAGATTCCTAAATGTATTATTTTTCCGGGCTAATTTTTTGAAATATGATACCAAACATAATTTTCTTGAAAATTTACGTTCACTTTTTAAGGTATCTAAAAAAATCCCCCTATCGTACATCTCCTTAAAGATTCTGCATATAAACAGTAGAACGCATTACAGCCCTTGATTTTGTTTTGTTTTGTTTTCTTAACATATGCACGCCCTAGCCAAATATGCTTTTTCCCTTCTTTTTAAAAATTGCTAATGCGTTGTTGTTGACTTCTTGTTCATTGAGTTGGAACGGATGTCAAATGACAAATGTGTCTGCCAGCTTGTAATGTCCGTTGTGGGAGTGTGTATCAAGCAGTGTTGTCTACCCACACCCATAGGCCCATTAATTATTGGGCCTGATCTAGTCACTAGCGGTGTCGGCCCATCTTGCTGCTACTTCCTGGCCTTTAGGAAAGATTTGTTTGTGGGCCATGATCAATTTTTTATTATCATTTGGACTACTTTTTTTGGGTTACTTTAGCAGTTTAGTGATACTTAAAATTGAGATTCTATGTAAAATTGAAAAGAAATAAAAAATCATAAAATGTAAAAACATAATGTAAAAAATTCATAAAAAATAATAAAAACATAAAAGTGTTTGAAATATTAATAAAATTATTTTGATAAATTTTTTTATAAAATCATAATGATAAATCAATATTTTAACTACATAGTAAGTACAATGTACAAATACTCTATAAATTAATTATCGTAATGATCATGTGGCAGTGAACTTATTTATATTGAATAGGTTTTTATGAACTGGTTAGACAAAAAAATTCACAAAAAGTCCAATGTGGTCTAAAATTACTGAGAGAAGAAACTTAAACTTTGAGTTAATACGACAATAATAATAAAAATATTCATGTCTGCTTTTTAAAAAGGCAGCTGAATCTAAAACTCTAACTTGTCAAAATGAGTATCATAAAAAATTAATATATTGCATATAAAAATGTGTAAAATTTATATTTTTTTCCTATCTTCTTTTCATATAACTTTACAAAGACCTCATAGATTTTATATATGTAAGATAATTTTATCTCCTATAATATAATAAGAAAAATTATTCTCTCATTTTACATAAATAACTATCTCATGCTCTTATATAAAAAAAAAATTGTACTACCACTTTTTTTTGTAATAGGTGATGAACTTCATCTCATCATGTATTTATAATAGGAAATATTTATTTCCAACGACACAGGAAAATAGAACCCTTTTATAACAAACATAAAAAAAAAAAAAAAGTTTCAATGTGGAATAAAGTGATAATAAAGTGAGTTGAGGGACCAACTTTACAGAAAAAGTGAAAGGGGCAATATGGTAAAGCAGAACTTTTATTTTATTTTATTTTTTATTTTGGAGAGGTGCACGATACTTGCAAGGAACCCGCATGGAGTGAGAAGAGAAAAAGGAAAAGGTTCTGATTGTATATGGGATGGGGTCCACCTTCAAAGACTCACTTGTATTATTGTTTCTGAAGAACTGAAGAAACCGATCGGCTAAGAGGTTCTGAAAGGCTGTTCCGAAGAACTCGTTTAACAAAAAATAGAAAAAGAAAAAGAAAAAGAACAAAAAACTAATCGATTTTTCATAAATTTTAAGGAAAAAAAAAAAAACGAAAGCTAGAACCGAAAGTTGTTGAAAATGGTGTCGGCGAACAAGGAAATGGTTGTGTACTGCTTCGACACCCTCGTCGCTCACTACAACAGCGAGGAAGCTCCTCCTCCCTCCTTCGACGATGGTCAACAGTAATCTCTCTCTCTCTCTCGCTATTTTCTTCGCTGTTTTTTGTTTTTTTAATGAATAATATATTACTCGTATCTTCGTATAAATGGGAAGAATTCAAGGGCTGATACGTATTTTTGAAGTGATGAGTTGTTGTTTAAATGTAGTGATGTTGATGATAGTTCTTTAATCTTCCTTTTTTTTGTGTGTGTAAATTTCACTCTCTTATCTGCTGGTTCATTTCCCCCTTATTATGTATTGCAAATATAAGTGATCCTGCAATGGGTTATCATGGCTGACCAATCAAGGACTAACATTTATTTGGTAGAGGAGAAAATGGTATTCGGAAGTGGAGAAAGATATTTTAAAATTTTTTAGATGTTACTTATCATGTTATAGTGAAAACTGGGATGGGCATTGCACTTCGCAAAGCACAATTTAAATTGAACAGTTTGTTGCACTGTCTTTTGGACTTTTGACCTTTGAGTGTATATGATGCTGGGGAAACACTGTAAAGTAGATCTTGAATTGAATCTTAGCATTTGCTTGGGCATTGAGTTATATAGCTCTGAGAACTATTATGTCTTTCTCTTCTGAATCAAGAACAAGTACATCAAAGAAACACGTACGTTCTCATTTACTGCTTTAATATTATTTGCATGTAGATTGTTCCCCGTCAAATTAAAAAGTTATGTGGAATTTTCTTTTTCCCCATTAAATACTCGTCATCTTCTTTTGTGTTTATGTATGGAGGGAATAAGTTTTGAAAGAACATGCTTTAAAATTAAATTCTGGTTTAAAAATCAAAGACTTACGAGGAGTGACTTATGCATGTCTTTCCTTGTGAGAACCCCAAAATATGGTTAGTACTTAATATTTGTTAAGTTTGTTAAGTCGATATACTATACAGCCATTCTGAAGCATGAGTCATGAGTACTCATGACTATAGAAGAGTCTTGTTCTATGTTTAATGTTCCTTTTGATGATGACTATTTTTGTCATGGTTGTATGTGCTGAACTATGAATCATAAATGTCTTTTAATTGTCTGGATCCGTGAATTTGTTAATCCATTTTTCCTTTGACAATGATGGTCTCAAATAAGAATTTATGATTTTCTATCTATTTTCCTTGTGTGTTCAATATTCCCAGTAGACTGTTTTATTACTGTCTATATGAGTGGGTTTCACATTGTAGTTTGTCCATAATTTATTTTGAATTACTTGATATCAAATGTTGCTTGGTGAATCTTAGTGACTCATTTTTTTAATTTTCAAAACACATTAGAACATAGTTATCAATAGCATTGCTTTTGCGCATTGTGGCACCCAGCCGCTGCTCGCCACTACGCACGTGATGGTTCATGGTAGCAGCTAAAACGCCGCACTATTGCAGCGTTACGGGGAAGGGATGTATGATTCTAGTTTTGCCCTCGATTTAACTTGCTGACAGTAATATTTTAGGGGTTAAATCATCTTTTAACCCTATTTTTATTCGAACCCCTCTACCCACTCTCTCTCTCTCTCTTTCTCTCCGTCGACCTAAACCTCCCTTTCTCTCTTGTCTCTCTGAGACAAGCAACCATCTTTTCTCTGTTCCAAACATTTTGGGTGGGTTCTCTGACAGTGTTTTAATATGCAAGAGTGAAGTTTACTTGCAAGAGTGAGGTTTATTTTGGGGGGTTATGTGACATTGTTTATTTGTCTTGGGTTCTATGACACCAATAAAAAAAGACCCGATTTATAGCATCTTTGGGTTCTCTGACAGTGTTTATTTGTCATTAGAGTAAAAAGAAAAACGTAATCAAGAAATTTATGGCTCAAATAACAATTGATTTCGTAAAAGCTAACTGATGAAGGATTTTTTAAATTAGTTTTGACGTACCAACGGATTAGGCATGAACCAGTTTCTGAAAATTTGTGTAATTACCAAACACATGATTTTAATTAACTGTACTGTACTTAGTCAGTTAGTCTTATGGTTTTTGGAGTTTTGACAGACACCCCCTTGGCAATAAGTTTTGTACGGCCAGAGGATTATTTGGGTTTTACATTTGAACCGGTCTTACATGTTGATGGGTTGTACTATTATTGAATTATGTAAGAATTATACACATCTATAACAAGAAGAAAATGTTGCAATTCAGTTTCTCAACAATTAATTTGTATGTTGTTGTATAATTGCATATCTATGCAGACTAACTTGATATATTTCTTTTAAAACTTTTGGTGCTTCTCTATGTGACTTCGCTCTGACAAATGTTTGTCATATACTTTTTCTTGTAAATACGCCATTTTGTTGTTTGAATGAGCATTAATATTATCTATTTTATGCTTTAATACTTACAAATTTTTAAGACTTGGTTTTTTAGTTTTAAGAATGAAAATATTTCTCCCTCTGATGAAATGATAATTTATATTTGAGCACTATGCCATGATATCCCAGTTTGAAGCAATTATGCTTTGTTTCAGCCCATTGTTTGTTACATGGAAGAAAGTGGTAAATGGTGGGGAGCCTCGTCTTCGTGGGTGCATTGGTTCTCTAGAAGCACGTGGCTTGATCAATGGGTTCAGAGATTATGCGCTGAACAGGTTTGTTGATGTATTAGTAATTGAAGGAAGATTCCTTAGAAAGGGACCATCTTGCAGTGAAATTAATGAACATATTTCAAAGTGTGAATTTACATATATTCAATTATGAATTGAAAAATGTTTCTGTCCAAGATAATACATGCATATATCTCTTTTAGCTGATGTCCCATGGAAATTTAAGCATGTGGGCTCATTAAGTAATGTGACAGCATGTTCCTTAATTTTCCTTTTCCTCTTAGTTTAATCACTTCTCTTGGAAAAATTTCCAGGCAAGTGTCATTTATCTGTTAGCTTTCTGTACTCTACATTTGAGTGGCCTCAAACCTGTATAATTCTTACTTGTCCATGTTTTTCCTCTGAAATATCTTGCAGCGCTCTCAGGGATCGCAGATTCCCACCCATACAGGCTAAAGAGCTTCCTTTATTGGAATGTACAGTCTCTATTCTTACTGATTATGAAACTGCTGACGATTACCTTGACTGGGAGGTAGGTGCTAATTTACTTGTTTTGGTTTCTAGGTCGTAATTGGCAGAAAATGACTGTAGAAATGTTATTTAACCTATGTAGCAATCTACTACGTTGTGGTCCAAGTTAGTTATGGAGTTAATTTTTTTTAATCTTTATCATTTACTATTTTAGTGGGAAGGGAAAAGAACTGCAATGGTGGCCAAGCATTTAAGATGGTAGCAAAAATATATGCAACCCAATTTGCTTTATGTTCTAAGGATTACCCCTCTCCCAATATTTCTTTTTCAACACCCGGTGATCATGTCAGCTTTGCTCTATTCTATCGGTTTTGTTTTTTATTTTTTTATTTTCATTTTTTATTTCAATTTTTTTAAAATATACATATATTTTATTATTATGTGCAAAAATTGCATGCTATTAGATTTGGAGGTTGTCGTTCTCATTTGAAATGCTTTATGTTGAAAAGTTATTGTTTGTTGTACCATGTTTCAAAAAGATTTATTTGCTATACAGTTGAAAAGAGTTCTGGTGATCTGTTACATCTTATCAAAAACATCTGTCACATGTCATAAACAACTAGAATTAAAGTATCACGTGATTCATTCATACTAATGTTTATAATTAAAGTTTACAGTTTATGCTAACTCTTAGTATGACTCGGATATTATATGAATTCAATCCAGATGAAAATGTCGCCTAGTGGGGAAAAAGTGGCTTACAAACTCACCCTTCTAAACATAGACTAATAATTGGAAGTGGAGGGTAAAGTTATATAATTAGTGATCTAATATCAATCAGATGAGACTACTAAATTTTAATGTCTTCTTTCTGGGCCTATTTTGGAGGATTTGGATTAGTATCCTGCTTATAAAAAGGATTTGTGATGGAGATGGTGAGTCAGTAATTTCAGAAAGTGGACAGGGAGAAGGCTCTTAGTTTTGATGGCTTTGTTTTAGATCCTTTGCACATTATTTTTGCACATTCAGATTCTGCTGGTTTCTTTCTTGCAGGTAGGAAAGCATGGTATAATTATTGAATTTTCTGATCCTGACTATAACACCAGGCGAAGTGCCACATACCTGCCTGAAGTGGCTGCGAATGAAGGTAACTTGTGCTAACCATTGAGCTGTGTTTCACATTTGGGAAGTGAAGTTAGTCAACAGATTGCAATGCCACTAATACAAAGTTGTCATGAGTATTTTGTTTTCAATAGTAAAATAAAATTCATTAGAAAAAAGGAGATAAGTAAGATACATCTATAAGGAGGATAAGATATCCTTCAAAACTGAAAAAAATAAAGAAATAAAAAATCAGAGAACCTGAAAAATCATAAACTAAGAGCAGCCACCCACCCAATCTATATGCATATTTGAGATGGTGACCCCCCTCAAAACAATTAGCAGCAGAACACTAAGAAGTGGCCATAGATACAATCCTTTCATAGCAAGTTGAGGAGCAGAGTGGATGAATTGTTGTGCATTCTAGGTTAATTATACTACACCTACCAGTTCAGATTACTTGTTAAAATCAATCTGAGTTCATATTTACCTACATTGCCACGTATCTCACTCTGCATGGTGGGGAAGCAATGCTAAGTATGTAAAAAAAATTGGCCTAGTGAGACCCACTTAAATACGCGTGCATTCTGCTCTAACCAAATGCACCAAGGGACTGCATCAAATGTAAAGTGCAAATTTCTAAAACAAATTTTCTTCCTTTTTTTTGCCAAAATCTGTATACCTAACCATCTAAAACTGTTTCCAAAGTAGAAGCGCGCACCCAATGGTAATCAAAAACCATAAACAAATCATTTCATATGAAAGTAAGTGCCTTATAATTCAAAAACAAGTGCCCAGCCGTGTCTGAGCAAAGTTGTTAGATCTTTTTGCACCTTTACTTGCATATAAGTTTTGCTAGGTTTTTCCTTTCCTACAGTTAATTTATTTTTTTACTCTAAAATGCAAGGAGTCCCCCTAACTATAGGTCAGTTTAAGAAAACTCACATTTGGTTCAAATCTCAGCAACTGAACTCCTTAAACTTACCAAATTGTGCAACCTAGTGTAGAATTAACCCTCTGTAAGGAGTCAATGTGCACGATTTGATAAGTTGAAGGAGCTGATTCTTTTGAGTTTTCAACTGGAGGTTTTCTGAAATTGACCTGTAGTTGATGTGGGGGGGGGGGGGGGGGGGGGGGGGGTTGCATTTTAGCCTTTGTTTAAGCAATAATGCAATATTCATCAGAGGCCATGAAGGGTTTTCCTCGTATGTATTTTTGTTGCATTAGGAAGAGTTCTAAGCTAAAAACTTAGGCAAGTAAACAAGAATAGACAATGTGGTCGATAATGACAATGCATGACAGTAACTACTAGTGTTTCTTTTCTTATGACATTTTATCTACGAACTAACCAATTTAACTTGACCCAAGTGTCCAAATCCAACTTCCGGTTATGCTTTTATTTTTGGAATTATGCCTGTATTTTATATTTTAACCAACTGCACGGTGATCGTATATCCTTTTTTTTTCGCTGGAAGTTCTTAAACAAGGATTATTTCTAGAAATAAATTTTATTAATTGCAATCTTAAGGATCTTGCACTCAGTTTTACTGAGTCGTATGACCCTCCGTTTCTCATTCTTATTAGGGGTCATCTAAGAGGGTGGGAAACCAACATGTAGCATTGCTTATCTTTGTTTGCTTGGGTTTCAGGTTGGACTAAAATAGAGGCCATTGACTCCTTGATTCGTAAAGCAGGCTATAATGGTACAATCAAAGAGTCACTTAGAAAGAACATACAGCTAACCAAATACCAAAGCACCTTATTTACTATGCACTATGGTGAATATGTTTCCTATGTGAAGCAGGCAAGAGGTGAAGCTCCATCTATTCTTGGAGCTAAGTTGCGCAATTAGTTATTTTTTCAGACAACATTTTCTAAAGCTGGACATCTTCTTTGGTGAAAGATTGAATACTTTTTCCAAAAAAAAAACTTGGTGCAATTTTTTTTCATAACCGAACTACTGTGACTGGTGCAACTTTTTACATTCTTCAAATTCATTTGATTTTGAAGAAACTACATAACTCTGGACTTGGTTTTTGTGAACGTCCTTCTGTCACTGAATTCAGTAGCTTAAGAAAGCTGCAGCACTGTTGAACTTGTTTATGTCAGTCTTGTTGATAATTGGAACTTTAATCTCTCTCTCTCTTCGTTGAACTGTTTTATGTTTCTTATTGATAACTGGAATTTCAATCTCTCTCCGAGTAGTGAGTCTTGTATTCATGATTATTAAATCCTTATATGATGATCAGGATTGACAATCACTTAAGGAGCATGATAACATATGTTTAAATAATGGGAATAATATCTATCTTTTTTAAAGGATATAAGTTTATATCTTTTTAGATCTTAACTGTTGATTTCCGTCCATCAACGGTTATAATTTATTAGATTAAAATTATTAATTAATTCATAATAAATTTGGCCCATTAAATTTGACCCAATAGATTATAACCGTTGATGGACGGAAATTTAGGATCTAAAATGATATAAACTTGTATCCTTTAAAAGGATAGATATTTTTTCTTAAATATTTTCTATGTAAGAAAATAATGTTTTAATATTGGCTGCATGTGATTCGATGTGTTTGCTTCTCGCTGGGATTTTTATTCTTCGAAAGAGTAATTCATTATATGCGAATAAAAATTATCTTATAACCTAATGATTTATTCTTATGTATTAAATCAGGATGTATTTTCTTTGAATAGTTAAATCTCTTCATTTATAGTCCTTAAAGAATATATATAATATTTTTAACCTATTTTTTAATTTTAAGCTCTTTATTTATACTTTTTTAATATTTTTTAAATTTTAACTAAAATAATTACGTATAGCACATATATTTTATAATTTTAAATGTTTTCTTAAATATTTTTAATTTTTAATTATTTTTTTAAATATTTAAGTTTAATATTTGCTACTTAACTTTCGCTCTCACTCCCATTTCTTTTTCTCATTATTGGAATTCTTAACATATTAAATATCAATCATACATATTTTTAAATTTATTTAAAAATAACATTGATAAAAATGTAACCATACGAAACAATCGTATAGTGAGATTCAAACAAAAGATATAATTTTGAACATTATATATAACTAAGTTATAAAATTTTAAAAACATTGCAATAAAACACGAATATTTTATATATTTATATGGGATAAAATATTATATTTATTTTATCTACTTCTTTTAAATCATAATCTCAACTAATAATGGAAGGAGAGAGAAAATCTGAAAGACATTTCAAATTATAATCTAACAGTTGAAGGGAAATACATAAAATTGGTTGACATAGGGGAAAAAAAATAGACATAGTATTTTATCCTTATTTTTAAACATATTACTGTATGAATAAAATATACCGATGATAACTCAACCAGTAAGCAAACTAAAGTCATAACAAGATGAACTTTACCTACAAATTTCAAAAAATAATGAGATATGATATTATGTTTATCTTTTTTAATACTTATTCTACTTATCTTTTATCTTTTTTCCAACACCGTTAAATTGAGATTGTGATTTCAACAAGAGAGAGAAAAAAGCTGAAAATCAACTAAAATTATAATCTAAAGGTGATTAAAAAAATAAAATAAAGATAAAAAATATATACATAATATTTCAGGGAAAAGTATTTTTCCAGTCACCGAATATAAAATTATCTCCAGTGAGCTCAAAACGACGTCGTTTTGGGGTTATAAAATTAAAAAATTATAATGATAAAGACTTATATAATCCTGCAATATATTATAATTACAAAAATACCTTAATTTTCGTCCTAAAACAACGTCGTTTTGTACTCACCGAAGATAACTTATATGGAGAAATCCTTTACCGAATATCCTATTTCAAAAATAATATAGCATTGAGTCACTAACCCAAAATAACGCCAACCAAAGACATACCATAACTAAGGCCGAAGAAGCAGAGACTGAGAGTAGCGCTTCTCTTATCTCTGTTAGGGAAAAAACATAATCAAATAAAATCGTTTACAGCATCTAAGTAGGTACTTTTAATAACCTTTGAGTCTCAGTGTTTTATACGTGAATTCATGTGTGTTTCACATTGCATTCTTCTCCGTGATTGAAGCCAATTGCTCTTGGTTTTCGTTGTATCCATATCTTTAATCTCACCAATGCATGTGGATTTTCATACCCAATTAACTTTTTTATTGAAAAGCTTTTTTTCCTTTTCTTTTGGTCTTTCTACAATCTGAAACAAGGGATGAATGATTGAAATTTTATTACAATGTGCTGGACTTCACATTTATTTTTATTGGGTTTTATGCTTTCTCTTGTGCACTAAATATAGTAACACCAGTTTTTGATCATATTTCTTTGAAATCTGGACCATTTATGCAATTAGTTTCTGGGTTTGGTTTTACAATCTCAATGAGAAAATGCAAACAATTTTTTTATATATATTTGTTGTATTTTATTTCTCACACCACATGCAAGAATTATGTATCCATTACCAACTAGATATGAATCTCAGCGTATTTATGTTAAACCGCAGTTTCTATTATCCCCAGTGGTCTTATATTGGCAATTTGATTGATAATGTCCCCTTTCTTTTTTCTTTTTCTTTAATTATACTCTGGAATCTGTGAAGATTCCTCTTTTATTTAGTTTCTTTCTTGGGGACAACGCCCTTTATGTTATTTAGTTTTATAGGATTTCTTATTTTGTTCCTTGTATATGAGTGTGACATGCAAATTCTCACATAGCCGTAGGAATATCTCTTCAAAACATAGATTATTCTGTTGGCAATTGTCCTCTTCCCCCAACCCTCTCCTTTTTTCTTTAATAATTTTTGTTTTCCTGCCACCAATTACTAGTCAAGGGAGAAAAATGGCAAACAAATTTATATAAATACATATATTATTGAAGTTTTCTTGTTTTCATTGCTTCTTTTGTCCTTTTCTCTTGTTTTTTTTCCACCTTTACGCCTTCTTGGGACTGATATTTTTGTCTCTCACTGATTATAAGATCGGTGAGAAATGGATGTAATATATAAAAGCACTCCATCTGTTCTGCTTGCAGTTTAGCTGCATGTTATGTGACAGTGTTGGTACCCCACTGACTGTAAGTGATATACTGGAAGTATATTTTGGTAATTTTCTCTTTTACTTAATCTTCTTTACTTTGATTTGAAATTAATGAAACTATAGAAAGGCTGAGAGTTCTGTTTTTTATTTTTATGGATTATTACCATACTAGAAACTTATTGCCATTTCATTTAACTTATTCAATCCCTTGTGTTGTTTCTCTGGTAGATTTCATTTTGATTGCAGTAAAAATTAGGAGGAAACATTTCTATATGATGTGTGAGCACTGAAAATATTCTCACAGAGCACATTGGTTTTAATGGCAGGTTTGCAAATTGATTGTCATAATTATTCTGGGCCCTCACTGCTCTGTGATTTATTGTCATCATGTTTGGTTTTGTATGTTAGCCTCACACATATGTTTTTGTTTCTGCATATTAGCTTCACACGTATACTAAACCAGTGGACCTTAAAATCATGCCCTTACAGCTATTGAGCTGCGCATGTGAGTCTGTGACACTGCAACCCCTTGCAAACTGCAGTGTGGTACTGTGGTGGCTAACCTTGATGCACTGTTGTCCTTGTTTTTTTCCCTGTTAGTATTGGTAGCCTCTGTCGCCTTTTAAATTTCCATGAGTAGAAAACTTAACCAAATATTACCAGATGCACTCTTGTTAAATGAGGGGGGGAAATGATAATAATAGCCACTAGGCATGTTGAGTTAAATTGTACAAGCCTGCACTATTGGATATTTGAACTCTTTTGGCAATTATATGGTGTTCATAATTTATTCATGAAAACTCTTGAATTGGATTATGCATTTACTGCTCCTTTCTTTACTTTCTCTTTTTTCTAGTAGGCCTAAAATATCGACAATTATTATTATATAAATAATTGGCTATAATGCCACAGTAGAGGAGGATCACATACATTTGGTGCCGGTTGCTTTTTATTTTCTGGTCATGGTTTAATCAAATCTAAATTTTCTATGACTACCATTCATTTTGTAGTTATCAGTGTCATTAGATTTTTCACTTTCTGGTTTAAAATTAATATTGAGGGTTGTAGTTCTGTTGGATATTAAATGTTCAGCAACTGAACCAAACTCCTTGTTACTTTCATACAGGGTCTTTCTAACGAAACAATGGGAGGTGGAGGCTGTGTCACTGCCCCTCAACCGAAGTTTGAAGTTCAGCAGAAGCATCTCTCACGGGTTCCACACACAAAACCCCCATTCACTGTTGGCCAACTCAAGAAAGCTATTCCACCACATTGCTTTGAGCGCTCTCTCCTTTATTCATTCTCCTATGTGGTTTATGACCTTTCACTGGCCTTCCTTCTCTACATTGCCACTACTTACTTCCACCTACTTCCTCATCCACTTTCCTTCATTGCTTGGCCCATATATTGGGTTCTCCAAGGTTGCATTCTCACTGGGGTGTGGGTGATTGCTCATGAGTGTGGTCACCATGCCTTCAGTAAGTACCAATGGGTTGATGATTTGGTGGGTTTGATCCTTCACTCTGCACTTCTAGTCCCATATTTCTCATGGAAAATCAGTCATCGCCGCCACCACTCCAACACAGGTTCCCTTGACCGTGATGAAGTGTTTGTTCCAAAACCAAAATCCAAAGTAGGATGGTTCAGTAAATACATAAACAACCCACCAGGGAGGGCTTTTACTCTTCTCATCACACTCACACTAGGATGGCCCTTGTACTTGGCCTTCAATGTTTCTGGCAGACCCTATGATCGTTTTGCAAGCCACTATCACCCTTATGCTCCCATATACTCTGATAGGGAAAGGCTTCAAATTTATGTTTCTGATGCTGCTTTGTTTGCTGCAACTTATTTGCTCTACCGTTTTGTAACTGTTAAAGGACTGGCTTTGCTGCTTTGTGTTTATGGGGTGCCATTGCTCATTGTGAATGGCTTTCTTGTGACCATAACCTATTTGCAGCATACACACTCATCTTTACCTCACTATGACTCATCAGAATGGGACTGGCTGAAGGGAGCTTTGGCAACTGTGGACAGAGATTATGGGATACTGAACAAGGTGTTTCATCATATAACTGATACTCATGTGGCTCATCATATCTTCTCCACAATGCCACATTACCATGCAATGGAGGCAACAAAAGCAATGAAGCCCATATTGGGTGAGTATTACCAATTTGATGACACCCCATTTTACAAGGCATTGTGGAGGGAAGCAAAAGAGTGCCTCTATGTGGAACCGGACGAAGGAACACCTCAGAAGGGTGTTTATTGGTACAGGAACAAGTTTTGATGAAGAAAGCATGGGCCATAATAGTGAGAGTTGAAAATCTTGTGTTATATTACATGAATAAAAAGTTAAATAAGTGGACTTGCCCGGTAATGGACTACTGTATTATGAAGCAGCTTCTTGTAATCATGGTTATGGTGGAATAATAATAATAATCATAGTATTGGTTAAATGTGGAAAGAGTTTTATGATTTCCTTTCCCAAATGATAAGAGACAAATGCGTGTAACAACATTATTGATATTTGATAATGGGGGGTGGTAGATGTGAACAAACGCTCCTATTTTGCGTAGGTATTCGGAAATAAACCAATCAAATTTAATAAAAAGAGGTTAAAAAGCGATATACAAAATAATTCGAATTCTTTTGGCTTAACTAAGCTCTTGGTCTTTTAATTTTAGCATGTGTTTATTTTTGTTCTTATTCTTTTACTTTGTTTATTTAAGTTATTAACTACGGTAGATATTGCTCTTTCTTACAATGAAATTCCATACAAATTATTTTATGGAATTGGGTCCCCTCCAACAGTTAAAAATAGGGAAATGAAAATGAGATATGGATCCCATATTTTAAAAAGTTATTAGACCGACTTACCTGTAATTTTCATTTTCTGATTACGGCTACAATTTCACTGCCAGATCCAAAATTCATTATTCTATTGTGAATGCGTTAAATGTTGCTAATGAGATAATCTCATTAAAAAAAAAAAACAAATATGACACATAACCATTTAAAGCAATAATTTAAATTGATTTCTATACTATTTTAGAAATTATATTCTCATCTTTAATTTTTTTCTTTTATTGAATTATTATTATTAATTACTCATTTATAACTTAACATTAAAAAATTTAAAAATAAACGTAAATAATTATAAGAAGAAAGTTATACTTACAACTTTTTTTTTTTACAACCTCTTATAACCATATCTTAACACCGTTGATTTCCGTCAATCAACGGTTATGATTTTCACAAATTAAACTCATTAATTAATTATTAATTTACAATAATTAATAATTAATTAATGAGTTTAATTTACAAAAATCATAACTGTTGATTGGCAGAAATTAATGGTGTTAAGATATGGTTGTAAGAGGTAAAAAAAAGATTGTAAGTATAACCTACCTCATTTCAAAAATATATAAAATTACGAAGTCTTCTTACTTTTTAATTATAATTATCTTAAGTATTTAATTTTTTTTTCTGAATCTAATCTCACCTAAATCAGATTGAGTGCAGTTTAGCTTATTATTTTAAGAAAAAGTATTTTACATTTATTTTTTTTCTAAAACAATTAAATAAATATATATTCCATCTTAGATTTTTAAAAAGTATTTAGAATTGTAATGATTTTAAAGACTTTTTTTTTTACAATCAAGATTTTGTAATATTGAATTTTAAAGGATTTTAATAAAATTTATAAGATTTGAAAAAATAATATGAATTTATAAGATTTTAAAAAATAAATTAAATACTTAACAAACATTCAAAATTATAAAAAAATAAAGAAATGTTTGGTTGTGCTAAAACAACAACTCAAGACATCAGAGAGAGTGCAAGCACAAATAACACAAACAGCATAAACAACCTATTCATCATCTTCGGGTCTTTTTAGAAATCGAAGATTTCTTGCATCAATATTAAAAAAAAAAAAATCTTATGTAATCGTTTCAAAAGAAAAAACATGAGAAAATATTCATTCTGATTAGCCAAATTAGTCCTTTTTTTTTCTTTGATGCCACAAGATTGGAAGAACAAAGAGTTAATAACTTTTCAAATATAAAATGTCATCGAAAAGAAGTTGTTTTGAATATTTGTGTTTTGAATATAAAATGTCATTCAAAAGGTGATAAGAAACACAAAAATCAAAAAATTAAAATGACGTTTTAGACAAGTTTTTTTTTTTTAATGATAGAACCCTAAAATTTTAGAATATAAATTCTCCTTCAATATTCCCTAAAAGCTACAAAAGTCCTAAGATTACCAATACAATCAAAAAAAAAATAATAAATCATCAATTAACGTATAAAGTATCGACTTTTATAAAAAAAATCCACAATTTTTTTATTCCAATCAACATTTCATTTGCAAGGCTTTGAGTAAAGAATATGGTAGATTGTAAGACACTAATAACAGATAAATCTCAAAAAGTCTAAGGGATTAAAGCAAAATTGTGATAGACATATTATTTATATTTTTTAGTGAAAAATCTCACAAAATTTATATTAATAGAAAATTCATTAAAATTATCATATTTTTTAATATTACAAGATTTTTTTTTATTTAAAATTTTGATTAAATATTTTTGAATTTGAACAAACTCTAAAATAATATTTTAAAATTCTAATCAAATATACATAACTTTTTTACAATTTTTTTAAATTTTAATTGAATGCATATGATTTTTTTTTTTAATAATTCAATTGGAATCCTTTAAAATGTGAATCCAATATATTCCCTTAAATTAAAAGTAGTCCTGGTCCACTTAGAAAATACAGAAACAAACAAGAATAAAGAAATATAAAAAATTTATTTACCAAAAAAAAAAAATATAAAAAATGGGGAGGAATGTGAATTGCAGTAACACCTCACCTGACCTCGACGACGTTGCTTGGCGAAACTGATAAAAGCGCTGTAATTCTATCATCCTCGATCATCACTGTTCTGCTCTCACGCCAAACCTCCATTTTGGTTCTTCAGGTTCTCTTCCTTTTCTTTCATTCTTTCTTTTTTCCCCCAGATTTGTAATATCTCCCGATTAGATCACAGGGATGCGTCTGATACAGTTCCTTTTGATAAATCTTTCTCTTTTTTGGTTTTCCCTGTATGCCCCATAAAATTAAAGGATCGGAGACGAATTGGGTCGCTGAGTTTTATTGCCTTCAACTTTTCGACTCAGTCTTCTTGAGCTTTTTTAAGTTCCATTTGACTGTAGATTTTGCCAAATCCAAAGTGTGCATGCACATCCCCCTTTTTTTTGTGTGAAATTGAAAAATTGTGGACATTCCATCCCCAATTGCGAATTAAGATTATTCATGCGATCTTTACTTGAATTGCAGTTAGGTTTGATTTCTGGCCTCAATTAGGGCATAGTTGATCAGTTCTTGCTATTTATAGTACATGGCTTTTGATTAATTTTTTGTTATTTACAACTTGGGTAGGTTGTTGTGGGGATTGTATCTTCTGGTGGTGGAGTTTTTTGGAAATTGGAGATGAGTCAGAGGGGTTTAATATATAGCTTTGTTGCCAAAGGGACTGTTGTTTTAGCAGAGCACACGCAATATACAGGAAATTTCAGCACCATTGCTGTTCAGTGCTTGCAGAAGCTGCCTTCAAATAGCAGCAAATACACATATTCATGTGATGGTCACACGTTTAACTTCCTCATAGACAATGGATTTGGTATTGACTCTTGGTTTTTTTTATGTATTATCAGCTCTGCTGCTTTGGTTGTTATATATTTCCATGCCTGAAAGTTTTTCTCTGCATTGCAGTTTACCTTGTTGTTGCAGATGAATCGGTTGGAAGGAGTGTTCCTTTTATATTTCTTGAACGGGTGAAGGATGACTTTAAGAAGCGTTATGGTGCTAGCATTCAGAATGACAGTGCCCATCCCCTTGCTGACGACGACGATGATGATTTATTTGAAGACAGATTTAGCATTGCCTATCATCTTGATAGAGAATTCGGGTTCGTATATGCTTGGCCCTTTGTTAATTTTTTTTTTTTACTTCTTTGTAGTTTGGTTTTTAGTATTTTGATCCTGTTACACAGACCAACGCTTAAGGAGCATATGCAGTATTGCATGAACAATCCGGAAGAAATAAGTAAACTATCAAAATTGAAGGCTCAAATAACTGAGGTCAAGGGAATAATGATGGACAATATTGAGAAGGTATATGATACTAAGCCTAATTTCACACACTCTTTTGGTTGCTATCATATGTTTTCAGCTCTGGTTCTTTGTAGGAATACTATCTAAATAGTTTGTCTCTGGATGAATTGTTCTGTTTTTTTATACTTGGTGTAATAACAGTATGAGAGTTTTACCTCTATATTATACTTGGTATTCTGCACATAGGATTGTGTAAACCACCCACTGCCATAATATTTTAGCATCCTTTTTGTTGCCAAAACCTTTTGAAAATGACACACCTGACATTCACTAAGAGCTGTAAACAAATTATTCGATCAGAAACCACCCATCTGACAATGTGAAATTAATTAGTGACTAACTTGTTAAATGTTCAATTAAAATATTGATTATGGTGCTGTCTTCATACTTATTTTAGAGTTTTAACTTTTTACCCTCCTATATTCCCAGAGCTTTGCAACCTTTGTTATGTTCTTTTCTTGTTTGTTCTCGATTTTAGTAAACTTTGTCTCTCTCAAAACACACACACACAACAACAACAACAACCACCACCAACAAACAATTGCAATTCTGTTGGGTGGCATGCATCTCAACTTGCAGCCTAGCAGATTTTGTTTAGGTCAATTGACGATGCATTATTCACCATTATTTTTTGATCTCGGGGTGAATAAACAGTTCAGTCAGTATATTAGGGTGTTAATAAACATTCTCCCCTGCTGGCTGAAGGGCCACGCCAGGCCCCATATTATTTTAATGTTCTACTTATTGAATTTTATATTATTATTATTTTGTCCTTAATATGCTTTTTCTTTTATATGGGTTTGTGGATTTTGCCGACCCAACTAATTTGGGATAGCAGTAATGTTGATATTTTTAATAGTAAATATACAATTTAAATATTAAGTTACTTAAAATAATAGTCAATATAATTAATAAAAGGTAACACATATACTGGTTCACTTTCCTAATTTAAGTAACCTCTTTTATTTATTAGCTTCTTAATCTCTTTTTTATCATCCAACTATTACCGAATAATTATCATGTGCAAATATTACCTTTTCTCTCATTCATCTATCCCCACAAAGTCTATTCCATCATTCTCAATTCCCTATAGTTTTTAAATGACCAATTGTTTTTTTATAAAATCATTTTTTTATTTTTAACATTTATTTACTCATTATTTTTCTTATCAGCTTTACCTTTTCAGTAACAATCATCATCTACAGTGCTCTTGTATCTAATTCTCAAAGTGATTTTGTACATTCAACTTATTCAATTAACTACTTATTTTTTAAAAATTCATTTCAAACAGTAAAAAAATAAAAATTACATTATGTTCAATAATAAAAAAGCACAATTTTATATTTTGACAAATAAGTGTATTGAGCTGCCCGAGGGGGAGTAGATAAAGACTGGCAGTTGAGTCTTTTATATGTGCATTTGTAAAAGACTGGCAAATTCTGTTAATTGAAGAGGTTGTCATGAAAACTGAAAATAGTACTTTTGCACATGCATCAGATCTTATACTCATCTGGCTAGTAAATATGACATGGCTCATACACAAAATGTTTGCATTCATCTCAACTTTTGGTTTTGGGGTATACTCAATAGGATTTGGAGCCTCTAATGTCCCAGGACCATCATGTTGAAGAGAGATAGACAGAAATTTTATTGTGTGGGGACCTGCCATGATGGGTTATAAGGTCCAGATGACTTTCTCCTCTTATTTAACTAGAGAGTTGATCATAATCCAGTCAGTATTAGGTGAAAATGTTCCTTTAGGCTATGACTTCATAAGATTGCTTGTGTTTGATTTCGTAGCATGCCCTTAGAAGGTTGTAATTCAATAATTTTTCTTTTGATTACTAATAAAATTATATGCATATAAGCATAAATTTAGTGATTGTGACAATTAGACCAACAGAAGGATGCTGACTCCCTCAGTAAGAGTAGGCTTCTATATCAAGAAAAGGCTCTAGGATTTGACCCGCATAAAATTGAAGAAGATTTTTGTCCCATCTAAACTACCAGGGAACTAGTAAATCAAAACTAGTATAAGGCGTCACAAATGCAACAGGAACAAGAACATGGTTGGATACATAAATTAGGATATACTGTATTTTTATTCTGGACGGTAATGAATGTATCTTCGTTGCCTTCTATATATATGATTTTAATATCAGTTTTCAAATTGGGAATCGGAAGAAACCATTTAAACATTTCATTTTTTTTCAAAAATCCATGTTGCTGCTCAATATCAAGCACCTTTAAATGACATTTGCACTAACTATTTTGAAGGTTTTGGATCGTGGAGAGAAGATTGAACTTCTGGTGGACAAAACAGAAAACTTGCAGTTCCAGGTATGTATTATTATACAAATCAAAATAGTCTGAAGTAATCTACTGACGGGATTAAATTTTCCATTAAAATTTAGGCTGACAGCTTCCAGAGGCAAGGCAGGCAGCTGAGAAGGAAGATGTGGCTGCAGAATCTCCAAATGAAGCTGATGGTGGGAGGAGGAATCCTTATCTTGATTATAATATTGTGGGTTATTGCTTGTGGGGGTTTCAAATGTTGATGGAGCTATAAAAAATTGGAGTCTGTATTAGGGCACACAGGGGGTGCACAAAATGATATACTGTACTACTTGTACATGGAATTTGGCGCGGGAATTCATGGTTATTGTCATAGACTGTAATTAAGCTTGTGGTAAGCTGCTAGTTACTTTGAACGAAGCTCTTGCATCAGATGACATTACTGGGGTGGTTGTGCATATCATGATATTGCTTTTACCATTGTAGAGCTTTCACTAACTTTTCCTTGCCTTGTTCAAGTGTATTTTCTTGTTTCAGTTAAAAACGTTAACCAGAGCAACAGGGATAAGTTGCGCACTAAACATTTAGATTTTTAAAGGTTGACGTTGAACGCTCTTATGTTTTGGTCTTGCCTTAATGAGGTCTTTTCTTGTAGTTGGGACATGCATAGGTTTTTCCTCGATTTATTCTTCCAGGAATCGTTAAAAATAAAAATTCATCAAAATTCAAGATCTACAAGATCTAATAAATCGAATAATTCAAAATGATTTTTCAAATTAATTAATTAATTTTTGATTCTCGAATATTCAACTGAGTTATTAATTTTTTATAACGTATTCCATTTTTCTTTGACAAATAAGACAGTAATCGTTGTCGTTTTTTCAAAATTTGACGTAAACCTTAGTCTGTTTTGTGCAATTCAAAATGTGAAGTAAGTTTCCGTATCCTATTTGTGAAATGAAATACTTGAAATTCAACCATTCAACCGACTCTGGGTCTCTCCTCTTGAATCCCCAAGGAATTTTCCCTCCGAAGATTGCAAATATAATGAAAACAGACATGAGGAAAGCAGAGTATTTGGTTCAAGATACTGCAAACATTTTAACGTTATCAGTTTTGAGACGTCTATAAAGTGTTTCTTACTAAACAATTTCAATAAGTCCCGTTCAGACGAGCTTGTTTGCTATGGCCTGGCACACAACTCCTTTTCTAAATATAGAATGAAAAAAGGATGGAGGGAAATATGGAAAAAAGAGAAGGGTATAAATGAGATAAAATTTTACCCAAAATGACAAAGGACCACAAAATAGTGATATGGGCCTGGATCACTATAAAAAAATCCCATTCAGACATGTTTATTTTTAATTTTCAATGAAAATAAAATCAGAAAATGACGAAAACAAACAGATCCAGTTGCTTTCAAAATTGCTTTCGGTGTAATACGTAACCATGAGATTATTATGTTGTGCTGTTTTTTTTTTTCCTCTTCTTCTCAGGTTTGTCTTAGAAGTCCTCTTGGTTAATAGGCTTGACTCTTAGGCCCTTGTATTCTGCTATCATTGTAAAAATAAATAAATATATAAAACTTTCAAGATTCAAATTGCGTCTTATTGAGAGTGGAATTGGAACTTTGGGGAGAACGATAAACTATGAATAGAAAGAAGATTCTTGCAGCAAAGATTCCACACTACATTTCAAATTACGAGTTACTTCTACCCCCATTTACTCGGTTTACTGCCATGTTATATTAGAATGCGTATAAATTGCTTTGTCTTCCGTAAACAGCAAGACTCATTTATAACAGAAAAAAGGGGAGATGGAAAATGCATCCTTCCATATAAAAGATAAATGCTTTATTACTGTAAATAGACACCAAGTACGATCAATCATGCTTTGCGCCATGTCTTAAATACAAAAGTGAAGTATAAATGAATAGTAACAAATGAAGCAACTTGGCGAAGAAAAGCCTATGAATAAAAGAACTGCGACTGTAAAAGCAAAATTGTCATAAAAGCTGAGTCAAGACGAAAATCAATCACACAACTTGGTAGTTTTCTGTGATCAACTGTGTTCTCTGAGAATGTTTGGGAGGATTACCACCCTTCAGAGGTATGATGTTCGTAACCTGCAAAGTGAAATAGAGGATGAGTCAAATAGAAGTCTCAGCTTCCATTAATTCAATATTCACACATGGTATGTCAACTATAATCCATCATCGCATATGATGATGTTAAACGCGAAATGAATGAAACAATAATCTATATTCAGACATGAAATGGGACTTCCCAGCCAAAAATTCTTCAGGTTGTCAGTAAATGTGTCAGTTTCAACTGTTCATTTTGACACATCATTTTAAATAGCACTATACATCCAATGCCACAATCAAAGTCGAATGCAAAAAATAGAAAATCCAAACAAACCTTCAGGTCACTAAATGTATCAGTTGCCATAAAACGGACTGAAATGGGAAAGAATGCTGATGATTCTGCTGGTGGAACAACAAACTCCATTGACCCGCTGCCAAATATATTAAAGTCAGATAAAACAAGTCCAAAAGTACAAAGATAATAACACATCATAATTTAGATCTTAAAAAATATCACTCCAAATTTAGCATACCTGCGGTTTGAATTGTCAATCAGAAGGACAGACCACTCCAAAATGGAATTCCTAGGGTCATACCTGCAAAGCCAATTTTATCAGAGGATTTTATAAAGAGAGCTTTCACAATCTGGTGAGTGCTTCAAATATTGCAATCCATTAGCATGTGTAACACAGACAGTTTCTAATACAAAACCACCAGCTCATTTACTGCAGACTCCAATGCAAAACACAAAAATCATGGTTGTCCCTAACATTTATTTTGAGGAAAAAAATAAATAATGAAATCCACACCTCCATTCCCCATCAATCTGACTAACAGATGGTGCTTCTCGAAGAGCTGGAAGAGGTACAGAGATCACAACATTCCGCAGATCAAACATTGATGAAGCCTCATATTCAATGTTGACATACGTTTCATTTCCAGAAGGAGAAGGCCAGCAATTGACTAAATAGACAGATATAGCACGCGGTAAGTTATTAATACATGAAAAAAAAGTAGTAGATCACATCAATGATAGATATTAACTCACTTGTCAGCGGCACCATTGACTCATCAGTGCTTTGCATTCTCCACTTTAAAAGGCCAACACCTGCAGCATCACTGGCTTGACCAGTGGGGAAAGGCCTATTGGGATCCTTTAGGCCTAGTATATTTTCATTGGCAAATAGTTCTTTATTCATGTTAGGGTGTGTCTTGAAAGAGATGGCTTGATTCTCACCAGTCTGTACCTGCAAAAACAAGGTAAAATATTCAAGTACCAATGTGATACGAATCTTAGGAGAACCTCAGCGCAAAAGCTAGCCCATGAAGTAGGAGCGCTCAAAGTCCATATAAACCTCACACCAAAACTTTATGTTTCTGATGTGAGACTTCAAGTCTCATACTTTGAAGTAGGATCATAACCAATGTTGTTAAAACATAGAGTCTACGTAGAAACGGTAGGGGTGAGCAAAAACGTAAAATCGCAAAACGTAAACAAAACGTAAGAATTTACTAGTTACAAAACAATATATATCTAACATATATAAAACCAAAACACCACACTCTACTAACTAATGTGTGTGTGTCCTAGGACCCATACTCATTTACTCAAAAATTTAGTTAAATCCTCTTAATTAATCGTGCACGGGCCAAGTCTTGGATCCACTGTAAAAGCCCAGAATATTAATTATTTTTAAATTTAATTAATAATTTATCATTTTTTAAAGTATTTAAGTATACATATTTTTTTCTATTTTAAATTTTTAATGGACTGTTTTATAAAATTAAATTAATTTTTTTATAAAATAAAAAACGTGTGGAAAAGAAAAATTAAAAAGGATCACGTTTTTTTTCTATCCTAGTAACTAAATGCGTGTTCCACTCTTCCATTTTGCATCCACTTTTTTTTTCAAAAAAAAAAAGCTGAGTCAACTCGGTAAACTCGCCGAGTCAACCGAGTTGACACGGCGTTTCAAACGTTTCGACCCAATACCCATTTCAACTACCGTTTCGACACGTTTTTTGTCATAAAAACGTAGAAACGATACGTTTCTACGTTTTTACAACACTGATCATAACATTTCACCATGCTCCGTAGCCCTGGCACCCACGCGGGCTAGCTTTGCGCTAGTCTTTTACTAACCCTGGACGAACATTGCAATGCTAGCGTCACCACCCGCGCCGCTCGATTGCAACTTGGAGATATAGTGGAAGGCTATGATACCAATTGATATAAACCTTGGGAGAACCTCACCCCAAAAGCTAGTCCATGAAGTAGGAGAGCCCATATAAAACCCACATCGGAACCTTATGTTTCCGATGTGGGACTCCGAGTCCCATACCTTGGAATAGGATCGTAACACAATACTTTCAAATGTCTTCCAAATTGATATTTGCATTCAAAATCAGTCTTAAGGAAAAAATAAAAATAAAACAAAACTAGGAGCACTGGAGCAGAGGTGAGTAGGAGTAACATCAAGTAATGTACAAAACATTTGAAAAAATGTACGGAGAAACAAAACAAATAAACTTAGCAAACATAAAAACAAATCATTTGAATATTGAAAACTGCATTTCAAATATACATATACCTCTTCATTTTTCTTCTTCTTTGTAGAAGAAAAGAAAAAACTAATTCAAGCTAACCAAATAAATTGGTTCAACAAAACCCTAAATATACATCACATATCAAAAGCACCAGAATACTTCATGATCAACAAAGGATCAAGCACTGTTGGTGCCCTATGGGAATTTCAATCTCTATTATCTTCCACTTCAATTTCATCCTTTCATCCTGGCTGAACAGCCACTGCTATCTTGTCCCCTTCCCTTTTTTCCTTTCCCTTTCTCTTCCTCCCCATTATTTTTCTGTCCTCTTTGTCATCTAGCTTGTTTCAACAGTCTCAGCAATTTTTAAGCAAAAAGAATAAAACTGATATATTCAACACAACTATATGAACTGATGGTTCTGCATCAAACACCAAATATTGGCTCATCTTGAGCAAAAACATCACTGCATCAAATAAAATATCTAGCTAACACTTACAATTGACTTATTTGAGCCAAGCACCTTAAACAAGACTGCTTTTTAAACATTATCCACATGAAAATTAGTTACTTTTTTTACCCAAATTATCACAGTCAACTACACTTATAGAGGATGTAAACCATGAGAAGAGTGCATGAGGACAAAATTTAGACCACACTAGAAAACAAAAGAAATTAAGCAGGGGGAAACAATCTGTTTCATATGAACTTCTCTCCACCAATGATGATGAGATTTAATAAAACAAGTATCATTATCTATGACAATAAATAATTAATTATTCAAGAAAGACTACTCAGGTTACACAAACCAGCATCACAGTGGACACACATTGAGGTAGAGAGCAATAGTGAGAATGTGATACCTGCACTTGAATGTGTCCATCCTCTTGGTTAAGAATCTGGAGAGACAAAGTGCCTTGAACAT